CTTGTCATTTCTTCCATTTGCTTTAGCTACTCTTCACTAAAGGGCAAGTTTCAAAGTCTCTTCTGACATCCATTTTGTCTTTTCTTCCTTTCCTGTCTTTTTAATGACCTCTTGCTTTTTTCATGGATGATGTTCTTGATGTCATCCCACAATTCCTCTGTTTCTTGATCATTGGTGTTCAATGCATCTATTCTTTAGATGGTCTCTAAATTCAGGAAGTATATATTCAAGGCCCTACTTTGGTTCTCATAGATTTGTTTTAATTGTTTTCAACTTCACCTTGAACTTGTATATGAGCAGTGGAAGGTCTGTTCCACAGTCAGCTCCTGGCCTTGTTTTAGCTGAAGATACTGAGCTTTTCCATTGCCTCTCGCCACAGATGTAGTCAATCTGATTCTTCTGTACTTCATCTGGCAAAGTCCACATGTATAGCCACTGTTTGTGTTGTTGAAAAAGGTATTTGCAATGAATAAGTCATTGGGCTTGCAAAATTCTATCATGCAATCTCCAGCATTATTGTTATTACCAAGGCCAAAATTTCGAACTGCTTGTGATTCTTCTTTGTTTTCAACTTCTGCATTCCAGTCACCAGAGATAATCATCACATCTTAATTGAATGTTTGGTCAATTTCAGACTGCAGAACTTGGTAAAAAAATCTTCAATTTCCTCATCTTTAGCTTTGGTGGTTGGTGTGTAAACTTGAATAATAGTCATATTAACTCCCTTCCTTGTAGGCATATGGATATTATCCTATCACTGACAGCATTGTACTTCAGGATAGGCCTTGAAACATTCTTTGTAACAATGAATGCCATGCCATTCCTCTTCAACTTGTCATTCCCAGTATAGCAGATCATATGGTTGTCTCATTCAAAATGGCCAAACTGGTCCATTTCAGCTCACTAATGCCTAGGATACAAATCTTTATGCATTCCATTTCATTTTTGATGACTTCCAATTTTCCTAGATTCACATTCCGTATATTCCATGTTCCGATTATTAGCAGATGTTTGTGGCTGTTTCTTCTCATTTTGAGTCATGCCATTTCAGCAAATGGAGGTCCCAAAAGCTCTAGTTTATCCATATCATTAAGGTTAATTCTACTCTGATGAGACAACTCTTTCCCAGTGGTATTTTGAGTGCCTTCTGACCTGAGGGGATCATCTTCCGGCACTATATCGGACAATGTTTTAGGGCTATTCATAAAGTTGTCCAGTTATATCAGACAGTGTTTCACTGCTATTCACAAGGTTTTCCCTGGACAATTCTTTGAGTATTGGATAGCCTCTTACTTCTTCTGAGTCTGTCTCAGTTTAGAAGCTCTGCTGAAACCTGTCCACCATGGGCAACCCTGCTGGCATTTGAAACATCGGTGGCACAGCCTCACAGCAACACTCAAGCCACGACAGTATGACAAATTGACAGACACGTTATTCTCCCTTAGCTGTTCCAAAGATGGCAGACAAAATAAAGGGGTGTGGGGAAGCAGGGTAGAGTTGAAGGCAAAGAAGGAAGCATTTCCCATTAGAAGTGAAGATGGCAAGACTTCATCTCATGTACATTGAACATGTTATCAGGAGGGACTAGTCCCTGGAAAAAGACATCATGCTTGGTAAAGTAGAGAGTCCATATAAAGAAGACAACCTTCCATGAGATGGATTGACACAATGCCTGCAACAATGGGTTCCCACACAATAACAATAGTGAGGATGATGCAGGACAAGGCAGTGTTTCATTCTGTTGTACACAGGGTTGCTATGAACTGGAACCAACTTGATAGCACTTAAAGGATACTAAATAGGAAAAAAATTAAAGGAGCTCTGGTGGCACAGTGCCCAAGGTGTTTTTTGACTACGAACCAGAAGTTTGGCAGTTCAAACCCACAAGCCACTCTGTGGAAGGAAGATGGGGTTATCCACTTCCATAAAGGTTTACTGCCTTGGAAACTCAATGGGAGTTGCTATGAGTCAGAACCGACTCGATGGCAGTGCGTTTGGTTTGGTTTGGGTTTTGAGAGCACCTAACACCAGTTTCTATAGAATGTACTTCCCATTTGTATCTGCTGTCAGCCTGTCATAGGTACAATGTAGAATTTCTAATGACATCTACACCCAAAGTAGGCCAATAAGATCATGTCAGAGTTGAAGTAGTGAAATCTTTGGAGATTCTTATGACTCTGTAGATACTTACATTAAAAGACAGCTGTTTCCAAACTTCCTTTCATCACCTCACTGAGCATTTCTGTGCCACTAGTCACCACCCCCCTTTCAATACCCTGCCACTTTCCATCTCAAATGATGGTTGATATCCATTATAATAGAAACAAAATATTTGAAGAGTTGACAGACACACACTGGGTGCTTGACAATACTGTTGACTGGCTGCCACCAAGACATGAGTGTACTAAGGACAGAAAAAATAAACAGATGTGGGGGAGTAGGGTAGAGCTGAGAGAAAAGAAGGAAGCATTTCCCATAAAGACTTCCTTATCCAATTTCCATGTCTATGACTTTTCCAATTCTATATCCAATTTGAGTCCAAACACCTCAATTCTTCTAATAGTTACTGAGGTTTGGTTCACATTCATCCACTTTAAATCAGGAAAACTGCAAAAAATCAGCCAACCCTCTATCATCAGCTCCCACCAGGAGTTCCCCATTGGTGCAATGGTTTGGGTGTACCTGGCAGAGAAGTTCACATTTCTCCCCACGCCATCCAGGTGCACATGTGCAGGTCCCGTCCAGTGTGTTGCATGCTCCCCCGTTGAGGCACTGGCATGTTAAGTTACAGCCAAAGCCCCATGTGCCACTAGGACAGCGGATAGAGCAGTCCACCCCGTGCCAGCCTGTCATGACAAGATGCCAGAGCATGTGAGGAAACAAAGGCAGCAGGGAGTTTTGCAGAACCTATCCAAACATGTTTCCCTTTAGAGACATCCTGGGAATGCATAACAGTTACCCCCAGCCTCAAGAGTTCCCATCAGAAATGAACAAAAGGCACTCCTGATCACCTGAACAGTGCATATGTTGTGTGATCTGCCAAGGATGCCAACATCGAGAAGCTATTGGGGAAGAGATATAAAGTTGGGGTACTTTTAACATGCAGTGATGTGCACCATGAAATTCTGAGTTTTGTTCATTTCAAGAAAATTAAATATTTATAGGGCAAGGAGAAGGATAGTTTTGTTTGAAAGAACAGTCCCATCTTTATAGCATGACTCCATTAACTGTGCTCAATGAATGTCTAGGATCCTGGCTGCCACGCTATCTACAAATAAACACATTCTGGCCCTCACATAAAATTGGTGCTTGGCTATGTTCCTTGTGATGACTACAGGCCAGCAAGTTTAGGAGCATGGACACATGCCTGCTTACTGACACATCCCAAAAGGTTAGAGACTCACTTTTGGAGCTGACAGTGACTTCACGGCCCATCTAATCAAAGCTATTTGTCTTGACCCAAGAATAGAGACTACATTGGATGAGAGGCTTGCCATGGTCATGCACTAAAACAGCTGAAGTAGACCCCTAGTGAAGGTTTCTTTCCTGTGATTTTAAGATATAACAGGACCAGGATCAAATATGTGACTCATTCACCCACTCTTACCTGCTTTGCAAGTGCAAGAACCATCCACAGGGGAACAGGCGGCATTATTTTTACAGCCACAGCGAGAGGAACAGTTTATTCCATAGGTTCCCAGAGGGCACGGGGTAGAGCAGTCAATTCCCTAGACAGTGCAAATAGGAAAATGCATGCAACTTACTGACAGAAATAAGGTCAGCCAGATAGACAAAAATTTATCTTAGAGACGCTAATTAGACTTCCTCTTTCATTTTAACATATTATACTGTGTGTTGCTATAATACCACTATTCTACAAATCTTAGACATTCAAGTGCAATGATAGTTGGACTATGTTTTGTTGTTGTTAGTTACCATCAAGTCAGCCCCTTCCATCTTCTTTTGCTGCTTCTTGCATCATTCAGTACTTTACCAATAGGAAAAAAAAAAAAAAAAAACCTCAGTGCCATCGAGTCAATTCTGACTCATAGCGACCCCCTTTGGGTTTCCAAGCAGTAAATCTTTACTGTCCCATTTTCCTTCCACAGAGTGGCTGGTGGGTTTGAACCACCAACCTTCTGGTTAGCAGTCAAATGCCTTAGGCACTGCACTACCAGCGCTCCTTTGCCAACAGAGTCCTTCAATATTGCAATTCAAGGGTTGCTTTTTTCTTCAGTTCTTTCAGCTTGAGAAATACCAAGCATGTTCTTTCTTTTGGGTTTTCTAATTCCAGATTTTTGCACATTTCATTATCGTACTTTGTCTTCTCAAGCCACCCTTTGATATCTTCTGTTAAGTTCTTTCATCATTTCTTCCATTCACTTTAAATACTTTCCATTCAAGAGCAAGTTTCAGGGTCTTTTCTGACATCCATTTTAGTCTTTTCTTCCTTTCCTGTCTTTTTTTTTTTTTTTTTAATTGTGATTTGGGTGAAAGTTTACAGAGCAAAATTCACTTCCCATGCAAATTCACTTTCCATACAGCAGTTCACACACACACAGTTTCCTGACATTGACTACAATTTACCCCAATGCAACAGCTCTCCTCCCACTTCCTCCCTATGGTTATCTCTTCCCTGCATCCATCCCTCCATGCATTCTTGCCCCCTGAACTGTCTCCCTCTGCATAAACAGCTCTTCTTTCTCCCATGATTGTTCTCTCCAAGGAGTGTATCTACCTCAGGTAAATTTCACCTCATATGCCTGTCTTTTGTTTGGCTGGAAGCCACAGGTGTGGGTTCAATTCCAGACCTGAAGAGCAGCTAGGGGCCATAGTCTCAGTGGGTCCACCAGGCTGTATCAGACCAGCAAACCTGGTCCCCCCCCCCTTTTTTTTTCCCAAATGATTTTGAGTTTTGTTCTACATTGTTCTCCCTTTCTATCCAGGATCTCCTACATTGATCCCCCTCCGAGCGGTTGACAGTGGTAGCCAGGCACCATCTAGTTCTTCTGGTTTTATAGTCGTATAGGCTGAGGATCGCATGGAGTACCAGTCACAAGGACTAATTGTTTCCATGAAACTTTGGTTTTCTTCATTCTTTTTTGCTGTGCACGAGGAGAGACCCATCATTGCATCTAGATGGCTGCTTGCAAGCTTTTAAGATCCCAGTTGCTATTGCCAAAGTAGGAGGTGGAACAATGTTTTGTGTAGTATGTTATGCCATTTGAGCTCGATGTCCCCTGAGACTATGGTCCTGAGCCCACAGGTTCAACTACTCGGTCCCTCTGGGTAGTTTGCTGTGACCAAGAAGTGCCTACAACCTTGTCCCTTGTCAGCTCTACTATACCCCTGGGAATTCTAACAAAACATACAAATACACTTGTAGAACCATTGTCTGCTAACCCTATCCATGGTCTTGGGCACACTCCCTGCTTTCCTGTCTTTTTAAAAACTTTTTGCTTTTCTCATGTATGATGTCATCCCATAACTCATTTGGTCTTTGGTCACTAATGTTCAGTCTCTCAAATCAATTCTTCAGATGGTTTCTAAATTCAGGTGGGATATAATCAAGGTCATATTTGGCTTTCATGGACTTGTTTTAATTTGCTTCAGCTTCAGCTTAAATTTGCATAATGCTCTGCTCCATAGTCACTTTTGGCCTTTTCTGACTGATGATATTGAGCTTCTCCATGGCCTCTTGGCACAGATGTAGTCAATCTGATTCCTGTATATTCCATCTAGCAAGTATATAATCATGTTTACGTTGTTGGAAAAAAAGGTTTTTGCAATGAGTACGTCATTGGTCTTGTAAAATTCTATTATGCAGCCTCAGGCATTATTTCTTTCACCAAGGCCGTATTTTGCAACTACTGATATTTTGTCTTTGTTTCCAACTTTTTCATTCCAATCACTAGTATTTATCAATGCATCTTTATTGCATGTTTGATCAATTTCAGACTGTAGAAATTGTTAGAAATCTTCAATCTCTTCAACTTCAGCTTCAGTGGTTTATGTGTAAATTTTGGTCATGTTGTCAGAAGGGACCAGTCCTTGGAGAAGGAAATCATGCTTGGTTAAAGTAGAGGGTCAGTCAAAGAGGGTAAGACCCTCAATTAGATGGATTGACACAGTGGCTGCAATGATTGGCTCAAGCACAGCAAGGGTTATGAGGATGCAGCAGGACTAGGCAGTATTTCACATCACTTTACATAGGGTCGTTATGAATTGGAGCCAACTTCATGGCACCGAGCAACAACAGCAGTATTAACTGGTCTTCCTACAGGCATACAGATATTATCCTATAACTGACAACATTTACTTCATGACAGATCTTGAAATGTTCTTTTCACAATGAATGTGATGCCATTTGTCTTCAATTTGTCATTCCCAGAATAGTAACTATGTGATTTTCTGATTCAAAATGGCTTAATACCAGTTCATTTCAGCTCACTAATACCTAGGAAATCGATCTTTATGCAATCCATTTCATTTTTGACAACTGCCAATTTTCATAAATTCATATTTCATACATTCCATGTTCTGATTATTAATGGACATTTGCAGTTGCTTCTTTTCATTCAGAGACATGCCACATCAGCAAATGGAGGTCTCCAAGCTTTCCTCCATCCACATAATTAAGATTGACTCTACTTTGAGAAGGCTACTCTTTGCTAGTCATATTTTGAGTGCCTTCCAACAAGAGGGGCTCATCTTTCACTGCTACTCATAAAGTTTTCCAGTAATGTATCAGATAATGTTTCACTGCTATTCATGAGGTTTTCAGTGGCCAATTTTCTTGAAAGTGGATGGTCTGTCCTTTTTCCTAGTCTGTCTTAGTTTGTTAGCTCCACTGAAACCTGTAAATCATAGATGACCCTACTGGTATTTGAAATATGTGTCAGTTTACTGTGGTCTCTTTCATGGAAGCCAAGAATTCTACTACTTAACCACCAATGCCAATGGACATGTTTAGGATACAGTATTAAATGGGATCCAAAAAACCCTTCTGTTTTTATTAGTTCTACATTGGTAGCAAATACAGAGCCTTTTGTCCTTGTTCAAATAAGCAAATACATAAAAATAAATTTTAGCTATAAAATTACTGTTAAAAAGTTAACATAAATACTAACTGTGCATTAAATCACAATGCTTCCTAGACTTTCTGGTATAACATGTAATATTGTCAACTGGTGAAGCAAAGCAACAGAAGCCATGCTCAGCCAGCACTATGATTCCATTTAGTATCTAACAGTGAGAGTTAAATATATACATGGGCTCCAAAAGGCGATTGGAGTCACCTCCTGTGAAAACAGAAGTGACTTTCTTAAGACAAAGCTAATTCAAGTGGAGCTCAACCATGGGATAGCGACATAGGTTAGAAAACCCTGTGAAGATCCTTTCAGCTTTATAGCTTGATGATCTACCAGTTTTATGTTATGCGCACCATTATTCAGTTTAATGTTCTCATTAAAATGGAAAGAAATTATTCAAGAAAAATCCTGTTTTCTTTAAAATAAGGATTCCCATTCTGGGCTTAAGAAATCCTAGAAACTGTAGGCAAAATTCTACCTTTTAGCATATATGCATTTTTATAGAGCCTAGATTTTCAAAGATATCTAAAAAGTTATATACAATTAAACATACAGTGTAAATACCTAACAGGTACTACCTTGTATTAAATATCTTCAAATTGCATAGAATTAAAGCAAAATCTATCAACACTAATACCTATCATTCTTGGCAATTAATTTCCTTTTGGTTTATAAAACACAGTAAAAACCATTTCTTACAAAATAATTATAATGCATCATATTTCATCATTTATATTTATATTAAAACTTAATGCTGCATGCATATTTTTACTAGCTTTCCCAGTCATCATTCTAAGGTAATTATTTCTACTCTGTCAGTGCTTTTTATTCTCCTTCTCATTTATGATGTGATTATTTTAGCACAACCACTTACCTCAGAAAAGGTCATGCAATCCCAGTGTTAGATATATACCCAAAAGAAGTGAAAGCAGAAACGCAAACAGAAACCTGTACATCAACGTCCATTGCAACACTTTTCATTATAGCCAAAGACAGAAACAACCTAAATGTCTATCAATAGCCGAATGGATAAACAAAATGTGCTACAGATACACAATGGAATATTAGTCAGCCATAAAGAGGAGGAAGATGAGTCATTTAGGTTAGAAAGCTCTCAACAAAAACAACATAAAGAGAAATGAAGTCCTGATGAACCATGGACAAACCTTAAAAGCATCATGATGAGTGAAATAAGTCACTCACAAAAGGACAAAAAACTGAATGACTTCACTTACATGAAATAAGCAGATATTTAGAAATAAGCAGATATATAGAAACCAAAGCTTATGAGTGGCTACCAGTGGTGAGGGAAGGGGAGAGGGACAGTTTTTGCTTGGGGGCACTGTTGTGTTGTTGTTAAGTGCCGTCGAGTTGTATCCAACTCACAGTGACCCTATGCACAGCAGAACGAAACACCACCTGGTCCTGCGCCATCTCTGCAATCCCTGCTATACCTGAGCCCATCACCACTGCCACCATGTCAATCCATCTTGTTGAGGGCCTTCCCTCTTTCGTCAACCTTCTACCTTACCAAGCATGTCATCTTTCTCCAGGGAATGGTCCCTTCTCACAACATGACCAAAGTAGGCGAGACAAAGTCTTGCCATTCTTGCTTCCTAGGAGCATTCCAGCTGCATTTCCTCCAGGACAGACCTGTTAGTTCTTTTAGCAGTCCATGGTACTTTCAGCATTCTTTTTCAACACCACAACTCAAAAGCATCAATTCTTCAGTCTTCCTTCTTCATTGTCTAGCTCTCACATGCATATGAGGCAATTAAAAATACCATGGCTTGTGTCAGGTGTACCTTAGTCCTCAAGGGGACATCATTGCTTCTCAGCACTTGAAAGAGGTCTTTTGCAGCCAACTTGCCCAGTGCTATACAACGCCTGATGTCCTGATTGCTGCTTTCACTGGTGTCGATTGTAGAACTAAACAATGTGAAGTCTTTGACAACTTCAATCTTTTCTCCACTTATCATGATGCTGCTTATCGGTCCAGTTGTGAGGATTTTTGTATTCTTTATATTGAAATGTAATCCATACTTCAGACTGTATTCTTCAATCTTCATCAGTAATTGCTTCAAGTCATTCTCACTATCAGCAAGCAAAATTGTGTCTTCAGTGTATCCCAGGTTGTTAATGATTCTTCCTCCAATCCTGATGCCACGTTCTTCTTCATATAGTCAAGCTTCTCGGATTATTTGCTCAGCACTGAGTGTTACATTAATAGTGTTGCAATAATTAGGGAAAAGATAGGGATGGGGCTGTGCAACATGAAGAGTGTAATCAAAGACAATGAATGGTACATGTAGAAACTATAATGGCAAATAGTTTGTTGTGTGTATTTTCACCACAATAAAAAAAAGTAGCGCCCCCATAAAAGGTCATGCAACTTGAGGTATCAGTGTGTTCCACACCCATTTTCTTTTTCTTCCAAAACCCAAGTTACTTACTTTGAATCCGGGGGCACAGGTGCACTTTCCAGTCACGCTGTCACAGTCAGCCCCATTTTGGCAGCTGCAGATCTGTTGGCAAGATTCTCCATAGAATCCAGGAGAGCATGTCTCATTACAGTAGAGCCCAGACCAGCCTGGCTTGCAGGCGCACTCTCCAGACATGGGGTGACAGCTGAAAGATATGGATGAAAGGAATAAGTCACTCTGGGGTAAATGTGACACTCAAGTCCCGTGCAAATGCTGCTTTAGCCATGATTACTAAATATGTGGGTAAGTCCATGAACAGTAACTTAAACTTCATTCTCAAGCTTGGCATAATTTCATTAATTAGCCACAACCTGATTGATACTGCAAAAATGTTGCATGAAATCAGCATCATGTTCTAATGGGATGACTATTAGAAACATATCCTTCTGTTTGAAATTCTTTTTAATTGTCTCAAACTGAAAGCATTCATTTAATAAGGGATCAACTTCATGCAAAGATCTAAAGAACTTCACCCAACAAACAATACCAAATTAGTTAACCAGGGTGATGTCCAAGGAACAACAAAAGCAGGCCTAGGCTCCCATACTTGGCGGTGGAGCAGCTGTTTCTACCTGAAACAGCAGTTGTATTGTCAGCCAGGCAGCCAGCTGTTGCTCCATAGCAAATGGACACATCAGCTGCACTAAGATGCACACATTAGTAAAGTTAATACAAGAGGCCCTCTGTGGCACTCTGTCTCAAAACACATGTGCTTCTCACCAAAGGAAAGTCTTAACAATCAAACTAGCTCTGCTGACAATTGGAAGGCTGTTTAAAGATGGTCTTCCTCCCCTGGTGGAGACAAAACCCTCCCCTTCACTAGGCCCACAAAATCCACTGTTGGCATCTAGTCATCACAAGACTGTTCATAGATTTTCTCCTTTTGAGAAGAATGAGGAACTAGGAAGATTGAAGCCTGAGGATATCATTCTAGTCTCCCACTGCCTGGGTGATCTCAGTGAAACCACAAACTTCCCTGGGCCTCATGACCTTGTCTGTCAAGTGTGGCTCCCAGCCACACCAATACTCTTAATTTCATATATATATACACATACATATACACATATATACCAAAAAACCGAACTCACTGCCATTGAGTTGATTCTGACTCATAATGACCCTCTTTGGGTTTGAACTGCCAACCTTCCGGCTAGCAGCCAAATGCCTTAGCCACTACATCACCAGAACTCCATATATATATATATATATATATATATATAAGCCTATAGGTTGGACAGTTTGTTTCTCATTTTCAGAACTGTATTTAAATATATGTTTAGGTCTCTGTTGCAACTGACTGCCCACAAGCAAATGCCACAACACACATCACAAGCACACTTGAGAAACCTAACACAAAGAAAAAGTAAAGTAAAACTGCATATTTGAGATCATTTCTTGAGTATGGAAGATTTGGAATTCAGAAGACAAGGGGCTGAATCTCAGATCTTCTACTTATCTGCTACATATCCTTGGGAAAATCACTTATTCTTGAGCAAACATCTGCCATTTCCTTGGCCTCTCAAACTTGCCATGTCCAAAACTAACCCTTGTTTTCCCCTTTCTTCCTTCCTCACTTAGTGTCTGACCCCAATTGAATGCATTTCCATAAATGGCACCACCAGTCACCAGTTGCAGGTTTAACTTTCTGGAAACCTAGGGGTAATACTTGATAAATCCTCTCTCTTCTCCCATATCTAAATCATCACTAAGACCTAGCCATTCTAACTCTAAAATGTGTCTTAAATTCATTCACATCTCTTCATCTTCACTGTCACCATCCTAGTCTAAGAAGATGTCACCTATAACCTAATCAAGTAGCCTCCTAATTTTTCTCCCTGCATCCATTCCTACCATATCACCTGAAAATTAGATTGTGTCGTATCAGTCTGTCTTAAAACCCATCAAATATCACCAAAATAATATGACACTATTTACAAAAAAAAAAAAAAAAAAACTCATTAAAGGCTCCCCACTATGCTTAGGATAAAATATACATTGCACTGCCGTGGCAACTCAAGGAGGGGTCTCTATGAATCGGGTCTGATTCGATGGCACATAACAACAACAACAGAGTGTCTTTATTGTCTAAACTAGGACATCTTTAATAGCAAAGGGGGAGCTACTAATAATTACACCAGGACAACAAACTATTCCAGAGAAACTGGGATACACAATCACCTTAAATACAGCCATCGGCCCTCATCACCTGGCCATGGCTACTTCTTCAACCTCTTCTTTCATCATCTCTCTTAATTACTATGCTCGACTCCACTGAACTTCTTTTAGTTTGTAAAACTATCAATTTAAATATGCTACTCTATATGGCTAGAATACTATTCTCTCACTCTTTGCCTAGCTTTCTCCTTCTTATATTCCAGTCTCAGCATTAAATGTTTCTTCCTTAGGAGGCCTTCCCTAACCATTCAAATTTAAATTAGCTCTTATTACTCTCATAGCACCCTGTTCTTTCTGCTCATCTCACTTACCACAATTTATAATCATACATGTATTAATTTTACAATCATTTCATGTTTTTTCTTCCTCTCTAGACTGTGAGCTCTATGAGGGTAAGAATTAAGTTTAATGTATTACCTGTTGTGGCACATGGTAGGCTCAGAGTGCATATTTATTGAGCAAATGAGTGAAAATATTACAATTCTTATGTGGCAAAGTCTGACTCCAAGGATCTTGCTTTCTCACACTAATCTGTTCTTCCTGATATCTCTGAGTCATCGAGTGATATTAAATAATTATGAGTAAATCTATATTCATCTCACATACTCTGAATATGTTATCAGGAGGAACCATTCGCTGGAGGACATCATGCTTGGTAAAGTAAAGGATCAGCAAAAAAGAGGAAGACCCTCAATGAGATGGATTGAAATAGTGACTACAACAATGGGCTCAAACATAGCAACAACTGTGAAGCTGCTGCAAGACTGGGCACCATTTCATTCTGTTGTGCAGAGTCAGAACCAACTCAACGGTACTTAAAAATAACAACGTATCTGTATTCAAGGGCAAGATTTCCGGTAAAACTGGTCTTAAAAAGTCTTGGCTTAAAGGGTATAGCCATTACTCTCAGACAAAACTCACTGAGTGATGTTTAGGATGATATAGCCACTACCATCTACTGAGCACTGTAAAGGTGCCACACTGAGCCAAGCACTCTCTGTGCATTACTGAATTTAATCCTCACAACCATCTTAAGAGTTAGGTATTACCCCCCCTTTTATTAAAGAGAAATGGGAGCCCTAGTAAGAGTAAATAATTGGTTCAAAGTTTCAACTGGTGACAGAATAAAAACTTGAATCCAGGTTTCTTTAATTATTATTATTATTATTTACAACAACAAAGATAAAGGAAATTTGATAGCAGTCTGCTAGGGGGACCAGATATAAAAAAGGATTGCTAAACGTTAGGATTTAGCACAGAAAAAAGGGTCAATAACGCAGTACCAGTATTGCGCAAAGAACAAGACAAATTTATATTTACCTCACTACAGGTCTTAAGTGTGAGAAAAGGGAAAGAACTGTTTCAAGTGATGGAAGAGTTAAAATAGTTTATCTTAACTCACTGCAAACTAAAAGATAATTTAGTAGAAAAATATTTCTTTACATTAAACCATAGAAAATACTATTTATGAAATAGATATTAAATGTTAGAACAGAAAATTTGGGGCAGGGAATCGGCCTAAGCAAGAAGCAGACACAGCAATTGATATTCAGTGCCCCCCAGTGAGTGTTAGTGCAGCACACTGTTCTCAGATTGATTGACATCAAAATTAGTATTCTGCAATTTGTAATTAGATGTAGGAAGCCAGTGCACTTTGGAGGCATTTGATGGGTTCTCAAGCAGGCAGCTTAATTGGTAATGAGTTTACGTATTGATGTTAGAGCAGCAGATTGGAGGCTGAAGGGTAATATACTCACTACCTGTTTTCCTTCAAAAGAATGGATTGCTTTGTGTATATGAATATAGGATTATGCACATATAGGCATAGATACCATTTTACACACATATATATGTGAAAACTATATACAAGTATTCTAATAAAATTTTCAGTTAAATGTAATAAATGTTCTACACTATACAATATTGGCTAAAACAGAATGAGTCATTGAACTTCCTTACATTTCTTTTGATGTTGCTAATGCTCAAATGTAATGACAATTAGGTGGCATTTGCAAATAGGTACATCCTGATTGCTTACAGCTATTAAATGTCCTTATTAACAACAGCTAATATACATATCCCACATAAGCTCTTATTAAACCTCAAATTTCATTTTCCTATTCAAAATTATTTCCATCATAAAAGTCGGTTTTCTGTTGAAAAGTCAAGATCATAGTGAATGTCTGTAGGTTCGATACAAGTGCTAGAAATTAAAATCCTATTACTTAAGTATGTTATTATTAGTTGCTGTTGAGTTGCTTTTGACTCATGGTAACTTCATGGGTTACACAGTAGGACTGCTCAATAGGGTTTTCCTGGCTGAGATCTCAACGGAAGCATATGACCAGTCCCTTTCTTCCACATTACCAGAACTGGGTGGGTTGGAACCACTGACCTTTAGGTTACCATTTGCATCACCTCAACACATCCAATACCATCAAGTTGATTCTGATTCATAGCAACCCTCATTGGGTTTCCAAGGTAGTAAATGTTTGCCAAAGTAGATTGTCTCATCTTCCTCCAATGGAGCAGCTGGTGGGATTGAATCGCCAAACTTTCAGTTACCAGCCAAATGCCTTATGCACTGTTGTTGTTGTTATGTGCCGTCGAGTCGGCCCCGACTCATAGCGACCCCTCCTTGGGTTTCCGAGGTAGTATCACTACGGAAGTAGGATTGCCCAACCTTCCTTCCGAGGAGTGGCTGGTGGGTTTGAACCGTCAGCCGTCTGGTTAGCAGACAAGTGACTTAGCCACTATGCTACCAGAGCTCCTCCTTATGCACTATACCACCAGAATTCCTTACCTAACATTACTTATGCATATATTTAAATTTATTTCAAGCTCATGCTGTTGTTGTTAGGTACCGTGGAGTCATTTGTTGTTGTTAGGTGCCGCCAATTCATTTCCAACTCATAGCGACCCCATGGACAGCAGAACAAAACACTGCCCAATCCCAGTCAGCTCCATGAT